TATTCCTATCTAGATCAAGGTAACTGGAGTAATTATCAATCATTAAAAGCATACGTGATTGTAGTTGTGAACTATTTTGTTCAACCGTATTCTCAACTGTTAGAGACTGGATCGCGACACGAGGGCTTGACTCGATCCCTACTCGATCAGAAATCCGAATTTCATTCACAAAATGGACGATGAAGCGTAAGTTGTATTGCAAAAATGATTTTATTTTTAGCCGCTCGTCATTAGAAAAATTTAATTTTCTACTTCTTTTCAAGACATTTTTTGTTGAAATTGCTGCTCATTGGTGATGCAGGCGTTGGTAAATCATGTTTATCACTACGTTATTCTGTAAGTCACTCAAGTGACTTAACTCGAAAGAAATCCATTTAACTCTACTTGCAGGATGACACATTTACAGAAAGTTACATCACAACAATTGGTGTGGATTTTGTACGTCGTTTTTCTCTCGATGGTTTTGATAGTGTGCTTGTATGTTCTCGATTTGTTTAGAGAATTCGCACAATTGAGCTTGATGGAAAACTTGTTAAATTACAAATAGTACGTAGCATTGTTGCCCATAGACTAATATTAATGAGTTTATTATGCTGTTTAGTGGGATACCGCTGGTCAGGAACGCTTTCGAACAATAACAAGTAAATAGTGTTAAACTACTCTTTCACAGAAATAATGATGTTATTTCCTAATTAAGCTGGTTATTATCGCGGAGCTCATGGAGTCATTGTTGTTTATGATGTAACCGATCAAGTTAGTTATTTTGTTGTTATTTCGAAATGGATTCAGATTGTTGTGCGAGTTAACAATTGTATCTGTCTAAAGTCAGTAGGAATTTAGAAAAGCATGGTGGCTTAAAAGATGGTTGTATTCAGAGAACACAGGTCAGTGTATGATGATCTCAAGACTCACTGCGAATCCATCTAAGAACATCATCACGGTTTTTAGTTGAAAATAAAAATTCCGTAGGCGGCATCTTTAACCTGAATTTCTTCACAGCAGTCATAATTCTGGATTCATCAAGAATGAAACAGTATCATTTTCTATTTTCGACAGTCCAAAATATAGTTTGAAGACTTCGTTCTAGACTTATTAAAGACAGAATTTTCCGCTCTACTGTGCGTTTGAATTTTGAAGGAAAATTTCATCCTCTGAGAAGTATTCAAAATATGAACACACCTTAAGAATCACTGCGATGGCATCTAATTAGAGGAAAAGATGCAACAGAATCTCGACTCCTACGAAATTTCCAACTATGGAAAGGAATTTCACGTCAAATTCTTCATGTATTTATGTGTATTTCAAAATTTCAAGAGATATTTTTGTGGGGGAAAGGTTAAGAACCTAAAACTCGAGAATTCTCTCTTGAATAAGCCTAGAATGAAGCTTTCAAACTATATCTGAGTCCTCAAAAAATAGAGTATGGTTTTGTCGCATTCTTTATAATCCATCGTTTATTTATCTGATCTATTTAGCATGTTATTTGCAGGCAAAATCGACTAATATAGTTCCATCAGTAGATTCTGTGTATCTGAATCTCGTTTAAGACCCCAATCAGAAACATAGCTGGTCTCGAAAAAGGCAGTATTGATCTAAGTACATGGTTGAATAATCCAAGGTATCCACTCTTAGAATCCACACTGTTCTTGCAATTTTCCGAGGATTGTTGAGGAAGTTTAAAGCCTAAAACGATTAATTTTTCTAAAATTCTAAACTTCCAATGAAATGCTGCAATGAAACAATGTTTCGACAAAGTTGGCAAGTCGAGCAAACATTTCTATTGTGCTCAACATGAGGCTATGGTTTTAGCAGTGCAGAGGTGGATTTTTGAGTTTCGTTCCAAGAGCTAAACAAAACTAAGGATCTCAGAAGAATGTGGAAGAGGTTTTCAGGAGTTTTGACGAAAATGTTTCTCGTTAATAAAACTCCAAAACATCCAGCTCTGTAATGTCAAAGTGACAGCATTTCTCGACATACCAAAATCGAGCTCGATAGTACGTGAACTGGCTGAGAATTTTGGAAAATCTTGACTGCCTCATTTTGCTCTTTTTTGAGACAGCATATTGCGAGCGCGGACAGATAGATGTAAAAAAAAATTTTATTCACCATACTCTGACTTGAGCAACATTCCTTGAAAGTTCGGTCCAGATTGGACTTGTAGTTACCGCAAGCAAATTTTTAACGGCGGAACAAGGATCCTTTTGTTGTTTATCTTTTCATATAGAGTTCATTCAGTAATGTGAATCATTGGCTACAAGAAATTGATCGTTTTGCTAATGAAAACGTGGTGAAAATTTTAATTGGCAATAAATGTGATTTAACAGAAAATAGAGTTGTCACTTATGACGAAGCTCAAGTATGTAGTAATTTAAGGAAAACCTTGTTTAAGTTGTAAATTAAATGTATCCCGAAACTCTACGGAAAACGATTAGGACGTCATTCACATACTGACAGGGGGAGGTCGGGTATTGTACCTCGTAGGAAATACATAATTATATCTCAAACTGTAGAGCAAACATATCGCAAAATCGACTTTTTATACGCTGAACAGAATCGGTCCAAATTTTTTTCTGAATAGCTTATTGAATGAATGTAAGGGCAGCAAAGTCGCAAAAGAAAAAACAGAAAAATTTGCGTCTAGTGGTATGTTTCGGTTCGATCTGTGAAACTTTTTTGAACCTCTAATCTAAGGTTGTAGTTAGCCGATCAAGCCGATGTTCCCGTGAAATGTACATTAACACTTATTTCTGAGTGTTTTTTATATAGGAATATGCTAATTCATTAAATATTTCGTTTTTTGAAACAAGTACAAAAAATGCAACAAACGTTGAACAAGCATTTATTGCAATAGCTACACAAGCAAGGAAACGGCAAGAGGCTGAAATGAGCAGAAGTCCGTCAAGAAACGAAATTCAACCAACGGTATGGATAGTCAGTTTTTGCCATGAAGACAATCTATATAAAACGGATGAGAAACAGTTATTGAAAAAACACGCTTTTATACTAAAGGGTAGAAGGAAAGGATCTAAAAGTTTTAATTTGGTAATAAACTACAATTAGTGACAACACACTTCATACGAGATTCGGCTTTGTTTAGTCTGGCAAGTAAAAGCATAACTTTTAGTAGGGAATTCGGGCAATTGTTCTTTGATTTAAAGTTTTAGAACATTTTGATTAAAAGTGAAGGATCATTTATATTCTAAACATAAAAGCACATCGAATAAGGGTGTTTCCCCATACTTTCCAAAAATGATTTTCGAATTTTAATCGTCAGGTTCCGAAAGACATATTTTCGTGCCTGAGAGGGATCACAGATGCGAAATTCTGGAAACTTTTTCTCTCGGAATGTTGTTGAGAAAAATTTTCCTTAATGCGATAAAAGAGTGTTACTTTCTTTTCGAGAGGAGAAATACGAGAAGTACTGAAAGTAATAACAAGAGTTGTAGAAGAATAATCATCTTTCTCGTAGCAAATACTATTGTTAGAGACGTTTCGTTATTTTACTGATAACGTCAATGCTAGTAGTAAAACAACGAAATGTCTCTAATTATCGGCTAAACAATTCTTGTTATAACTTTTATCTATGGTAATTTCTCAATTGAAATTTATGTTAAAATAGACACAAACTGGCGGTAACGGCCACTAGTTCTCTTCTAAAATGAATATTTTAAAAGCATCTAAGCTATTACGGGAGCTAGGGACGTGCGATTTTCACCAGAATTCATAACTTTCAGAGCTTTTTACTATATATACAAACTATCACTAAGCGTTGATTTCTTCAAATCGTTTCTTACTAATTTGGATATGGATACTGCCACATCTATCTTCAAGTCTACATTTAACTTTAATACTCAACAGTTAATACTCAACTTCTAAGAAAATCCGACACGATTTGGAGTAACTATTATCCATTAAAAAAATATAATGCACAAAACTCTTTTCATAATAAAGTTTGATGCATAAACCATAAAGAGATGCGGTTTTAGCCAATAGAAAACACTAGGGGAAATCTATAGGTAAAAATAGCAGATCCCAAATCCTGTCTGCAGGTAGTGTATATGATGAATCTTCCATAGGCAACGCTGCTGTTTTCTGAATTTTCATAACAATCTATTGTTCAAAATATGCAGAACATATACTGGCATCTATACTCCCCATCCTCACATCTACCACTGTTTGGTGGTGGCAGACTTTCTCTGAAAGCACCCTATCAGGCGACCTTGATGCCTGGTAATCTCGGAAGTGAATTGAGCATAGGTTTTCGACTATTCTAAATCTCGGAACAATCTTTGTTTTTAGGAAAAACTTCAAAAACCTTGTGGAAATCTAAACTGTGTTAAATAATGCATTTTTCACTATTTTCATCATAAATTAAAAAGTTCATAATTCACTCGAAATCGATAGAAACTACTTCAGAATATTAAGATATGCTCTATTCTATCTTCACGACACCTTGACGTTCACTGAAAGTTTTCAAAATGAGTAGAAAATATTTTGGTTTTTGAAAGGTTTTCCAAAAATCATTTCGAGTAAGGGAATGTTTGTTGACCAATCTTAAGTATAGACCAGGTTGAGGAGATAAAACAGAGTATATCTTGATATTCTGAAGTAATTAGTATCGATTTCGAGTGAATTATGATTGTTTTAATATACGGTGAAAATAGTGAAAAATGCATTATTTAACATAGGACTTGCGTGGATGTGGAGTATAGATGTCAGTGTATGTTCTGCCTATGAGTGATTCTGGTGATTTTTGTACCGTCCGACTTAAGCTAATGGAAATGCATGATTCTCCGTTAATACTAAATCGAGCTTTTGGAAGCTTATGCCATTTTATTCCGGACACTTTACTCTATATATACTGCTAAGATCTCTTTTCTGTCTTATTTCCTTAGTGTACAGTAAGCAAAACACTTTGTTTTGGGGTTCTTTTTCTCTTCTTTTTTTAGTGGTTACCACACGTTCTTTTTTCTTAATTAACATTTTTCTTCTGTTAAGGGGCAGCGGAACAAAATCTTTTTTGCTTTTTGTGCAGTATTTTATCGGCTCTGTCAATCTGCAGTCTTAGTTTTGCCTAATCTCTTTTAGTTTCCGTGAAAACTTCGATGGAATTTCTGTTCCTCGAAAAGTTCAAAAATCGTGTCCCATCCCCTTTTGAGTCTACTGCGCAGCCAATAAGCACTTTAAGTCAAATATTTTTCCATGAAAAGATTTACCAAAGTAGGCACTATAGATTGTTGAAAACCGCAAGTTGCTAGCCTTTTTCGGTTTTGAGTAATTGACATTTTACTGACGTCCAGTGGCTTGTGACATACAATTTGTCCCACCCCCTTTTGACTCTCCCCTGACCGAACTACATGAAATTGAGAACTCGGTTTTTTACCATATATGTCAAATGGGTAGCACGAGTTGTGCTATAAAGAGCAAGGCTTCAGCTTATTTCTAAAGGAAGAAATTCGAAAAATACATCAAAATGTCCCACCCCCAAACATAACTCTAGAATTGTTTTGGCTAGTGCATAAAGCCTCATATTATACAATTATACGTATTTTGACACCCTGAATTGAATGGCCGGCTCAGCAAAGGATTTCCGGAAAACCTAGATTTCTAGAGGCCCAAGCTTAGAAATTGTCAAAAACCACTTTTTAAGGATGCCAGTTGATAAAGCATATTTGAAAACCCATGTTTCAATATATTTTTAAACTAAATTATAATTCTTCACCCAAATTATGTCGGAATAACAAGGTGTACTCTATTTTACCTGCTCAATACTATGCAGTTCAATATAAGTTTTACAAATCAACAGAAAATATCTTGGGTTTTGAAAAGGTTTCCTAGAAATTCTCCCATGTACAAGAATGCTTTTTACTATTCTTAAGTAGAAAAACATATAGAGCAGCTAAAACAGAGTACATCTTGTTATTCTGACATAATTTGGGTGGATCTTGATTGGGTTATGAATTCTATAATTTTACTCAAAAAGAGGTAAAAATGGGTTATTTCACCTAATATAGATTTTCACATGGTTTTTGAAAGTTAATTGGAAAACAAATGTTGTCACGAGATTCAGGGTGGTCGATCACCTATGTTTCCGTTCGTTTCCAGAATTACCGCACCTAAGGAGATATTGATCTTGGGGCTCTCAGGAAATCCGATGCCACACTCGAAGCAAGAAAAATTAAGAGTTCGCCTAGTTCTTATTTTCGAGAGGATACATTGGACTATCTGCCTATGAAAAAAACTGATAGATAGGTGTCTCAGTTTCCGGAGATCCGGACTTGCTTTCAAACGATCCCCTAGAAAACCGGTCTTCTGAATGCTTTCGGAAAACTGTTTTGCTTATAAAAACATAGGCTAAACTGTCCTCTTCTCATCGCTGAAAACTGCTGGTCTCTAGCTTTTGTCGTCTTTGAGTTAATGGTCATACACTAATTAGTGTGTCTGGTGTATAAAGAGTTAATGACTTTCCATAAAGCTTTCGGTCTCAAAATCCAAAACAAGAAAAAACTGGTAGTTTGAAAAACTAATTGGTCTTACACTTTGAAGTATCCTCTATCCACTAATGACACTATTAAGTACAGGATTTGGGGTCTGCTATTTTTATGAATAGATTTCCCCTAGTGTTTTCTAGATACTAGAGAAAACCGCATCTCTTTATGGTTTATGCATCAAACGTTATTCTGAAAAGAGTTTTGTGCATTATATTTTTTAATGGATAATAATCCACTACAAAATGCAGTCATGATTAATAACCTAAAAACTGATTTCGTCGAACGTATTTTTTAAAAGCCACAAGTTCCCCATGTTTCGACAAGTGCTACAAATAATATCGAAGTGGACCATGGACCGTAAGTTGTATTGCAAAAATGATTTTATTTTTAGCCGCTCGTCATTAGAAAAATTTAATTTTCTACTTCTTTTCAAGACATTTTTTCTTGAAATTGCTGCTTATTGGTGATGCAGGCGTTGGTAAATCATGTTTATCACTACGTTATTCTGTAAGTCACTCAAGTGACTTAACTCGAAAGAAATCCATTTAACTCTACTTGCAGGATAACACATTTACTGAAAGCTACATCACAACAATTGGTGTGGATTTTGTACGTCGTTTTTCTCTGAATGGTTTTGATAGTGTGCTTGTATGTTCTCGATTTGTTTAGACAATTCGTGCAATTGAGCTTGATGGAAAACTTGTTAAATTACAAATAGTACGTAGCATTGTTGTCTATAGACTAATATTAATGAGTTTATTGTGCTGTTCAGTGGGATACCGCTGGTCAGGAACGCTTTCGAACAATAACAAGTAAATAGTGTTAAACTACTCTTGCACAGAAATAATGATCTTATTTCCTAATAAAGGTCGTTATTATCGCGGAGCTCATGGAATCTTTGTTGTTTACGATGTAACCGATCAGGTTAGTTATTTTATTGTAATTGCGGAGTGAATCTATATTGTTAAGATACAGGTGTCATTCGAAGTGAACTTTTGGACTCTCCATATTACCGCAGCTATTTCATCTCATTTTAAGTTTATTTGAAACTTTGGCTGTTTATCATTTCTCTTTTATATAGAACTCATTCAATAATGTGAAACATTGGCTGCAAGAGATTGATCGTTTTGCTAATGAGAACGTGATGAAAATGTTAATTGGCAATAAATGTGATTTAACAGAAATGAAACGCGTCGATAGTGTTATTGCTAAAGTAGGTCATGCTTTTCTAAACAAGATGCTGCTGATGATAGTAAACAGAGGGTATAGAACAACCTTTTTCCACTTGAAACGACTGTCGATAATTGAAAATGTGACATTTAAATTCTGCGTAATTGATCAGATATTCTATTGAAATTGGAAAAAGGTATTTTTTTATTTCCTGAAAGAGGCCTCGGTGTGTGAATACAAAGTAAAAGTGCGACTCTGAAAATCTGAGGTATACTTTTTTTAAGGGTACAATCCTCTCATTTCTTGTCTTGTTACAGAATCGTAAAATTTGATGGAAGAGAACTAGAATTTTTACCAAAGTATCTTCACGAAAGATAAAATAAGTAAATGTTTTGCTCACACCTTCGAAATCCCCTTAGTTATGATTTGCTGCAAAACCAGGTTTATAGTTGAGTACCTTACCGACCTTATCGAGCTCAAAGGCTTTCCACAGATACTGGGCTCCAATACCATGTGTCTTTGGACTTACTCTCCAAGTGGAAACGCCAAGAAATTGTAAAAAAATGTAGTGGGGATTCGGATATTGAATTTCAACTTCCAGAACCTAGGCTTACTTCCCTTGAAGAAAAAGTCCTAGAGAGCTAAATTGAAAAGCACTTGGCCGTATGGGCGTCTAGTACCTGTGCTAAACATGTAGGCTCAAACGGACAAAGTTCCGATGGAGTCGGTACACAATGTGGCCGAATCGATGTTTGAATCAGAAATGCCAGAACACACAGGTCACTTTTTTTAGGCCTCCTGACAAAAATACTTTTGAAGGAAACATCGTGAAGAGCTGGGAGATGTCTCGTTTTGAAGAAAACTATTAATCTGCAGGATTGATCATCTAAAATGAAGTTTTAAAAACGGCAAGAAAAGAAAAACAATTTTGGAAGTTTAACATTAGAATTTTGCAAGCGTAATGTGACAGACGTTAAAAATTCATATTTCCTCAAGAGCAGGTCAAGGAGATCTGGGAGTGATCTCAAATTATAGAGGATACACTATTGTACGCCATGTTTAACTCAAAAATAAAAAACATTCTTTATAGTGTTCTTGTACTCTGGTTTTGTCATGATTTTGAGTTTTCGTCTCGCCGTTAACTAATTAAAAGGCCATTGTCAAATATGTATGGGCTTCCCAGGTCGTTGATTCACGCGTCAGGATTCTGACGGAACCTGCCGGATCCGACATTAGAACATGCCGAAAGTTGTCGGAACTCGGTACAATCTAGCAGCAACCATGCCGGAAATCCGTTGCTCAGAATTCACGCCGGAAGGTGTCGGAAAAGATCTAACTGGATCCTTCGAGTTTCACTTCGAGATTCATCGAATTTCGCTCGCTTTGGCAGAATGTGATCAGTTTTCAAGCCTTCTAAGGGACTCCGCTCAGAAATTATCTCCGACACCGTACATCCGATCTTGACGAAACTTTCCATACATGTTAGGCACAATGAGCTACTGGAATGAAAGTATTTTTTGGTGTCCAAGTCTTACCTTTCAGGAGTTTTCCAGAGATCAAGCTCAAGAAGGACCCAGAAGTGTGTCCCAAGATTTTTTAATATACTTCAAGCTGGAGAGTTCGTGTTTGTTTGACTTTAAACTAGACACCTAACTACGTGGACTGACAGAAGCCGATTTTTTAATTACTAGTTTTCCAAGTAACCTCCAAAATCCGAAAAAGCCTTTCGGATTTTCTAAAAATCCTCTATTTGACAAAAAACTAGGACCTAATTCAAAAATCGGCGCTTGTCAGTCCACATAGTTTCTTTTCCTCTTTTAAACACAAAAAGAATGAACTTTCTAGGATAAACCGCTATTAAAAATCTTGGCACACACTTTAGGTACAACTTCCACGAAGAGAAAACGCTGTACAAAATGTTCAGTTTTTGGACTTCTGGGAAAAGGCTATTTTTAGCCTTAAATTTTTCTTTCACTTTTTAGTAGTTCTTTTCTCTGTTCGTTCGAGAGAGTAGAAGAGCCCACTAGCTAGAATGTGTACAACTCGTCCGTTGAACAGTGTGAGCGATGACTCACATAGTTAAAAATTTGAGAAGAACAACTTCTCATTTTTCATTTTCTGTAGTGTCCCATTTAAAGTACTACTCCTGTGAAATAAAACGGTGAATATATTAAGCGCAAAGGAAAGAACGAAAAAAAGTAAAGTGCACATCTCAGGATTTTGTTGCCGGAACTTAATGGATCCGATTGGTTTCGAATATCGGATCCGAACTGCTAACCCTCCAGGACCAAAAATAGGAACTCAAAGGAATTGACCAGATTCAGATCTCCGGATCCGATCGGACGCTCGATCTCTGGAAATCACCAGAATTAAAGGAATCCGATAAGATCCGATCAGGCGAGTTCGACCTGGATTGTCCAACTAACGGTCCCCTTTTTTTGTTCATTTTCAAAGAATTATTGCAATAAAGCTACAAACTAATTTAAAATGGCAACGAGATAATTAAGTAGATTAAACATTTCTCTACAAAATGAAAAGTGTCTCGGCTCTGAACTGTGACACTTTTGACCGTTTTTTGTTACAGCATCACGGTTTTTCTGGGTTTTCTTTGATTAATACAGATTAATTAGAATAGTTTCGACCTTAAAAGGCTATCACATCTTGTACAGCAAACAATTTTCTTCAAACTGGTATACTTGCTGAATCTTCGTCTGCTCGTCGTTACTCTTTTTTTAGACACGTTTTTCAGATAATCGACTTTTTTGCGCTGTTTGTGCAACACCTGTATTTTCATAGGAAATCCACGTTCAGAGCCGAGACACTTTCCACTATGTAGAGAAATGTTTAATCTACTTAATTATCTAGCTACCATTTTAGATTAGTTTGTAGCTTTATTGCAATAATTGTTTGAAAATGAGCGAAAAAAGGAGACCATTAGCTGCACAAGCCGTTATGGAATTATTTTGCTATGTTTTGTTATAGGAATATGCCGATTTATTAAACATTTCGTTTCTTGAAACAAGCGCAAAAAATGCAATAAATATTAAAGAAGTATTCGTCACAATGGCTACTAAAATAATTAGTCGGCTACTGGCTAAATCCGACTAGTAGTATTTATCAAATAAACTTGTAAAGATATTAAATTTTATAAATATTTTCATCTTGTAATTTTTAAATTCTTTTTGTTTGACTAAACAATCATTACGTTTCAAGAATGGAAATAAAACAAGTAAAAAACCTTAATATTTATCCTTCGAAAGTCTGTTTGGGAAAACGCATGAGATTAATTCTGATAAGTGATGCAAAACGCTTTCTTTGGAAATGTATACCGTCTATTTTGACGTAGCATTCCGATCTTTGACTTTTGCTCAAAAGGATATGCTTCGAACTGAAGACACATTACTAGAATACTGGAAATATAGCTGAATTTTTAAAAAAATTGCGTATACATAACTGTATAAGGAGAGAGAAAATATGTGTTAAAACTGATGTATTAATGGCTGACACCGGGTTCATACAATTTAAAACGTAGACGTTATGTATCATCCTTGAATCAAGATCATTCGTCGCTCTTCTAAGTCATCGGGTGGCAGAGATTTATCACATAATAAGCATAGTCCATGAACTAACAGCAATCTCCACAAGATGTCACAGTTTTAATGACGAAAAAACTTGAAAATTTGCCATTTATGAAGGGCTGTTTAGCTAGCTAGATCTCATGTTTTTAAAATTGTTTTCATTTTAATATTCGATTAAAATGGAAACAATTTTAAAAATTAAAGTAGCTTTCTTTGGAATAGCCCGTTCAATTAGCTTCAAAATGAAGTTCATTCCGAAGATAGATTACTGAGGTCATTTGACCCTATCTCTTTCTTATTTTTACCATTCCACTTGTATTTCTATTTAGCAGCTAAGGCAATGTGCTAACATGACAATGTTGATTTTAGCTGCTACCGCACTGTAAGAAATTGAGTGTATAAGTGACACACAAAAAGTGAACGTTGAGATCGTGTAATTTGATTGTCTAGAATTTTGCTGATCAGTCTGCTACTTTGAGACATTTCGAACAACCAGTCGGACCTGACGGTAAATACAGAGATACACAGGCAAGAAGGCAAGCATACAGCCAGTCAGTCAGCCAAACATATAGCCAATCCAATAGATACCGGAAAACAGCTGAAAGGATCCTGTAAAATTGCAGACTGGATCCCGTTATACCAAAATTTCGAGAAAATAGTAGAATAGTCCCGGATTTAGAAAAAAATATTTTTGACAGAACTGATCCCGGAAAAATTTTTGCTTTCTACGAACGATAGAGTTAATCTCAGTTGACGTGTTTAGTGGTCACATAAGATCCCCGTCCCCATGTCCTGCAGAAAGTTTATATCTGCACAAGATCTGTCAAGTTTCTTGATCTCAAAGAATGTTCAACAATTCTTGTCAAGATCTTGTCAAGTTTTTTTTGAGGAATCTGCTTGAAAAAATTTTGATCAAGATCTTGTCAAGATATGAAAACTTTTCTGTAATTAACAAAATCTTTGCTAACAAAAAAGTTATCAATTATTTTGATTACGACATGACTCAGACGTTCGACAAAAATGTAAATATGCCAACTTTGCATTTATTTATAGTTGTTGTAGTACTACAGTGTAGAGGACTTCTGCTAAAATTCT